CTCCCCCTCTCTCGCTTTGGCGTTAGCTTAAAGGACTCTTGTCATTCCCTGACTAGTAGTCAGACTTTCCCAGCAGAAGCCTGGCTCTGAACATCTCAGGAGAAGTTCCCAGAAGACTGAGAAGCAGAAATGAGAACTGCTGCAGAGACTGCAAGCACCAGCCATGAACAGCAGCCTGTGGACCCTCCATGTGACCTGTCTCAGCCCCTGTCTACAGCCCTTCATTGCAGTGTTCCAGGTCGCTGTAATCTCTAGGGGTCAGTTAAATAATAAATGGAAGCTGGGCACAGGTTTCTACCACCCCCATGCAAGATTTCCATCCCTGGCAGGTCCCTTCTCACAAGACTACAAAAGGCCTCCCAAGCACGGGTCACACAACTCCTGAATTTGGCACTGCCACACACCCCAGCCATGCTCACAGCAAGCAGAGGATAAAATAATTATCATAATTATTAATGACTTTCACCTTAGCAAATAGGCAGTAATAGTACGAGCTAACATCAAAGCTGCCAGAAACGGAAATTTGAAGTACAATGTGTAGCTATGCTAATTCTGTTGTTATCTAATGCACTATCACAATTCCTTCCTGTAGCAGATCTTCTGATGCAGTAGCGAAGGATGAGGAGTCAGTGCAGCCCCTGGCTCCAGGGCACAGCTTCAGGCAGTAGTAGTGACAGTGAGTCCAGATCACAGATCAAAATGTCAGATACCCAGTTACCCATGTGGGAGCTGGTACTATTATACTTCTACCAGGCAGGAGTTTATAACATTGGGGTAATCTCGTTCTATGTTTGCAAAGGTACTACAGCACTTTTAGGCTACCAAGTGGTGTAAAATGGCAATGAGATGAATTTAGAATCTGTCACTTTCTACAAGGATAGAAAAATCAGCTTAAAAAGTGATAATATAGGACAAACCCCCCAAGTTTACTTTCAGATTTTAGGGTAAATTTCCTCTGTTTGTAGTATTGAAAAAGAAAAAAAAAAAAAAAAAAAAAAAGAGAAATAAGGAAAAAAAAAAACGAACAAAAGCTTAAAAAGGGGAAAAACGAACCAAAACAGGATGGATTTGGGGGGGGAGGGGACATGGAGGGGACAGGAGAGCCCCCAGCTGGGGACACGGGGGACAGGGCCACCCGGGGAGGCCCCCTGCAGCTGGAGTGGTGGTTTTGGGTGGAAACGGGGGTGAATTGGTGCCCCGGGGGCTGCAATAATTTAGTGGTGATGTCACCCCCAGCGGTGGGGGACGCGGGGAGGTGACACAGAGGGGACGGTGGCTCTGCCGTGACAGAGGCCATCTGGTGACAACGGAGATGGGACGGGGACTGTGGGGACAGTGGCGCTGAACATGATGGCAAAGGGTGGGGACATTCCGATGACAATGATGAAGGACGAGGAGGGCTCTGGTGCCGATGACGATGGTGAAGGATGAGGGCTCTGGTGACGATGACGATGGTGAAGGACGAGGGCTCTTCAGTGACATGATGAAGGAGTGGGTGGAACTCTCTGGTGCCGATGACGAAGGACTCCAGTGACCATGATGAAGGACGAGGACTCTCTGGTGCCGATGATGCCGGTGAGGACCAAGGACTCCCGGAGAACGATGACAATGGCTTTGGGCTCTCTGAGGATGAGGATGACGAAGGCCAAGAGCTCTCCAGTGACAACGGTGAAGGCTGAAGGCTCTGAGGACAACCATGATGAAGGCCACGAGCTTGATGATGAAGGCCAAGAGCTTTCTGGTAACGATGACAATGGCCAAGAGTTCTCCAGTGATGGTGACGAAGGCCAAGAGCTTTCCGGTGATGATGACGAAGGCCAAGAGCTCTCCAACGATGATGATGGCCAAGTGCTTTCTGGTGACAACAGTGAAGCCCAAGGGCTCTCTGAGGACACTGATGAAGGCTGAGGACAATGATGAAAGCCGTGGGATCTCCAGTGACAACGGTGAAGGCCAAGGGCTCTGAGGACAACCACAATGAAGGCCAAGAGCTCTCCAGTGACGATGACGAAGGCCAAGAGCTCTCCAACTATGATGACGATGGCCAAGTGCTTTCCAGTGACAATACCAAGGACTCTCCAAGGACACTGACGAAGACAATGATGAAGACCAAGGACTCTCCGAGGACACTGATGAAGGCTGAGGGTGATGACGAAGGACAAGGATTCTCTGAGGATGATGCTGCTGAAGGCCAAGGGCTCTCCAAGGACAACGGTGAAGGACGAGGGCTCTCCAAAGACGATGACGGCAAAGGACGAGGGCTCTCTGAGGACAACACTGAAGGACGAGGGCTCTGCGAGGACAATGACGATGGCAGTGAAAGGACGAGGGCTCCTGTGAGGACGACCATCCCTCAAGCCTCTTCTTCGGCCTCTTCACCGAAGTCCTCCTCCTCCTCGGCGGTGGCGTCCTGGTACTGCTGGTACTCGGAGACGAGGTCGTTCATGTTGCTCTCGGCCTCGGTGAACTCCATCTCGTCCATGCCCTCGCCCGTGTACCAGTGGAGGAAGGCCTTGCGCCGGAACATGGCCGTGAACTGCTCCGAGATCCTCTTGAAGAGCTCCTGGATGGCCGTGCTGTTGCCGATGAAGGTGACGGCCATCTTGAGGCCCCGCGGTGGGATGTCACACACGGCCGTCTTCACGTTGTTGGGGATCCACTCCACGAAGTAAGAGCTGTTCTTGTTCTGGACGTTGAGCATCTGCTCGTCCACCTCCTTCATGGACATGCGGCCTCGGAAGACGGCAGCCACCGTGAGGTAACGGCCGTGACCAGGGTCGCAGGCGGC